GGGTAAATGAGTGATAACCCCCAAATTTTGAAAATATATATGAGGAAGTCAAATAAATTTTTCTGTTCTAGTCAAAAACTCAAATTCTGATCTTAATTAGTGAGACCCCTTAGATAACTTAAAGTACTTATTTTGCCCTTTTAGTTTCAATTCAATACATGCCCTAACCCTTTCTCTCTCTTCACCCACACCCACAAACTGCCGTTACGTATCTCACTCTCTCTATCTCTGTTCATCTCTCCCTTTCTCTAACTCTCTCTCGCCAAAAAAAAAACCACTGCACAAAAAAGTCTCCGGCGGCGGAGAAGAAGCCGAAGGCCGGCAAGAAGCTCCCCAACGACGCCGGCAAGGCGACCTTCGGTGGAGAGAAGAAGAGGACGAAGAAGAGCATGGAGAAGTACGAGATCTACATCTTCAAGGTGCTCCGTTTTCTGCTGATTCGTTTTATATTTCTCCTGCTCCGGTCCGTTTTCCCTGTTTTCGTTTTAGATTCGTTTTATATTTCCCCTGCGGATTTGGGATCTGAAAATTGTCTTCTATGTTATGACATGACTTCATAGTAGCTGGCAAAATGTTTATTAATCGTCACAGCGTAATGCTACTGTAAGGGAGGTTTTGTTCATTACGTGATTTAATTCACCAAGTTTCTATGGTTTGTATTAGTACCAAGGTGGTATATTGGAAAGCACAAAGCCCAATAATTGTGTTTGATTTTTTTTTCCTGTTTTTTTTTAATAAAGTATAATGAATGTTGCAGCAGCATCTAGCAGGGACAACCGAGGAAAGAGAATGGAGCATAATTCACTATCTTAAACTGCTGCGAACTTTTTTGGTAGTGTAGATGAATTTTATTCATATACATATATAGTCACATGTGATCGTATACATGTAGTCATATATAGTCACATGTAGTAACAAGAATGAACATAACTACATGTGACTATAGTTGACTACATATAGTCATATCTAGTCATATGCAGTAACAATAATGCACATAACTACTTGCGACTATAGTTCACCAAAGTAAATTTATCAAAAAAAATGTCTTTCATTGATTTTTTTTTTTGTATTTTTTCATGTAATGTAATTCGCATGTTCCATTTTGTTCTTCATTTTCTTTAACTTGTATTTTTTTGTCACAGGTTTTGCTTAGTAAAACATTACGAGATGCAAAGAATAAGATGCAGAGAAGTGCTATGTGAAGTTGCATTCATGCTACTTATGTCACTTATATAACTATCGATAATTGTATATAACTATAGTCACGTGTAGTAACATATAGTTATATGTATGCTATGTGTTTTTTAATGTATAGTAATGTGTGTTCATGTTTGAAGATTATATGCATGTGATTGTGTTTTTCATTTCTTTTTGGGGTAGTTGATTCATAATATCAAGATTAAAATTGTGAATTTTGTTGTTGGTGTAGATTAATTTTGGGGTAAAAAGGGGTAAAAAGAAAGTACATGAATACATATACATATACATGACTGTGGTATACTATAGTTACGTGTATTATACTAAAGTCATGTGTAGTTAATTTCAATACAGTAAATTTATCAAAAAAAAAATTAAAAAAAATATATATATAATTAAAAAATACAAATGAGGGTATATATAAAAAATAATAATAAAATAAACATTTATATTTTTTTATTAAATTAATATATAAAAATGATAAATGCAGGCCCAAGAATGCTAAATGCAGTTGGGCATTATGCTGAATGCAGGGGCAAAAATACTGAATGCAGTTGGCCGAAAATTTCAATTAAGGGCACAATAGTACTTTTGCCTCTCCAAGGGGTATCTCAAAGGAAAAATTTTAGGGTGGACCTATCCCTATATATTTTTCAACACTTATTTCAATCCAAAAAACTATTGAAGATCTCCCACTGCCGCACAGTTACACAAAATGATCGCTTTATTCATTATCATTTTTAAAAATATAGATACATAATATTACGTTGCCTGAGAGATTCGAACTCTCGCGGGGAAACCCCATGTACTTAGCAGGCACACACCTTAACCACTCGGCCAAAGCGACTATGATCTTAGAGTTTACGAATCATATTATATTTCTCTCCTGGTATTTTGAAGTCAATCTCCTCTCAAAAGTTATCATTAATTAGTTCGTTAAATTAATTTGAGTTTGTTTCTCAAAAGAACAGTCAGAACTAACAAAGAAAAAGAATCTGTACGTCCACGTCCTATCGTAATTAAATGTGTATGTCTAATGTCTATCTATCAGATAATCTAATTAAACAAAATTAATTACAGTTATTTGAATTAGATTAATGGGTATTGGATTAATAATGTTGGCCCAATGTGTAGAGACATTTAGAGTTCAGTTAGGATTCATTCCCTTCTCCCGGTAATCCATATATCGTCTGAGATAGAAGACAAGGAACGTGTTTTCTTTGGAAAATCAACCCTCTTTGAACTTCCGAATATTCGAATGGTTCTATGGATTCATGTACTGTGCATGATGGTCTTGGGATTTATTCGAGCATAATCAGATTATTTCTAACATGAAGTACCACATGGGTGGGTATCTATATGAATCCAAATCTGTCGAATCACTCGTTCGACATCGGATTCCAGCGATTGATTATGTTTCGGACAACCAACATAAAGTTCTCACACTTTCGTGCTCTACGCTTTCTTAGGTTCGAACATCATATCCGAAAGTAGACTCAGAGCCAGAACTCGTGCACGCATGACAATTCACCTACAACAAAAATAAGAATTTTATTTTTTCGTCAACTCAAAACAACAATAAATTAGAATGTATCATCTCTCTCTTCATCATCAAGAGCTGAAGTGTCCACCTCTTTTGGATCATCGTGAAAGCTAATCTCCATGGATGAAATATTCGTATGTATATCAAATTTTTCTCTATTAGTTATAACATAAATTTGAGCAAACTCGGCGCTGATAATGTATTAAAATAAGTAAAGAAACAAAAAGTAAAAAGAATTTATGGAACAATATAGAGAGAAGCAAGTATATATTTCACTTAATAATAGTATAATTTGACGAAAATGTTGGTGGTATTCATTATGTCTAGTTACAAAAAAGCTAAAGCTTGCTTCTTAATTATTTAGATCATGTTTCTACTAAGTCCACACCACTCACTTCCATCATTACCATCTATTATTACTACGCATATATTGGCCAATCTTATATTCCAATTCACCACCATCTTTCTTAAATTACACGAAATTTCCCAACCCATTATTAGAGTCATTATATGATTTTTTTTTTTGAATTAGTATAATAGCTAGTTCAAATGAAATACTTTTCAATCGCAATTTCTTTATTATTTATAATATAAGTCCTCGTTTAGTTGTTAACGACTACTCGATCAGTCCATCTATTTTATAATAACTGTCTATTTTTAAAATATTTTTGTTTAATATTATTCGTTACTTTACATTTTCAAATACTGAATTAAATGCATTTTTTTTCTTCATGTTTTAACCTTGTTAATTCAACTCTAAGTATTAATTCTCTCTTATCACATTATTACATGATCAAATTTATTTTAATCTTTTAATGTGTTTTTTTCTAAAATCAAGACACATTTACTGAGAATTTTAATACTTATGCAAAGTCTAAAAACGACAATTAATTAGAAATAAATGGAGTAATAATTAAGATGTAGAGTTGTTATTAGTATTAAACCAAAAGCGTGCTTACTTTGTTATGATTCCATTGATCATCAAAAGGAGCAAAAATCGGTGTAAAGAGAAAAGGCAATAAACTAAGTTGATTCAATTGATGTCTCTCCCGTATTTCTCGGATTAGCTCTCATTGTTTTTCTCCTTTATTGATTCTTTTTATTTATTTTATTTTATTTTATTTTATTTATTTATTTTTTGAGAAGCGACTAAACCAAAACAAGAAAAAATGATTGTAATAAGTATATCTTCTATCTATATTAATTTTCAAATTTCTTTCTTTTTGTTTTTCATTAGTTTAGATTTATTGTGGAAATAAATAATTGGTGAAAAATGATAAACTCACAAATTTAGATGCTATAAATTAAAATATGAAACTAAAAAAAAATGATATCTACTATGAACAATGAAAAACTAGAATGATAATTAATTAGTGTTAATTAATTAGTTAATCATGTCCAAGTCATCCGATGATGTTCGAAAACAAGTCTGAAACTTAATGCCGCGTGTCTGAGGTAATAATACGTTCAAAAAAAAATCCACACGCCAAATAAGAATTCACGCGTCAACCTACAAAATAATGCAGACATTAAGTGATTCGGCGCGAGTTGCTCGACGATTACCCTTTGACGCTCAAATAAGCAACCGAAAATTCAAGTAGAATAGAACGCTCGTAGAAATCAAAAATAACAAACTTACCTCAAATTAGTGAAAAATTACTTAAAATAAGTCTTATAAATTAAGTCTTCCATAAAATCCAATCATATAGTATCTAACAATTATGTCACCCACAATGCATTATTTGAAGCAATCCCAAAGTATTATTATATATACCTCTCTTTATTTTGTGGGTTTAAAAACCCCATGTGACCATTTGCCATTTTTTTTCTCACACAGCACACACACAGTAGCGGTGGCAATGGCGAAATCTTCCGAAGAGGAAGAAGTAGAATCGTTATTCCGATCTTACCCCTACGCCGCACTATACTTGGTCCAAAGCCCACCCTCGACCGTTAATTCCCATGCAACCGCCTCGTCCAATTACAATCACCTTCACCACTTAAACTCATGTAATAACAACTCTCCTATATCTCATTACTCGTCTTCTCGTGGATCGAACAACTCGTTTTTGCAAGACGGTGATAAGAAGAAACTACATTCACACGAGGCGCTTCGAAATGGTAATATTAATATAATAATAATAATAATATTAATGAGGCAGTAATACTTGATGATCAAGATTATTATTACGGTGATGAAGAGGAAAAACGAGGGTGGATAAAGTATTTATCTTTCGGTTATTCGAATTCCGGTATTTATCTTTCGGTTATTCGAATTCCGGGATGTGGATTTTGGTGCAGCTGAGTTGGAGGTTTTTGCTGAGTTTGATCATTGCTTTGTTTGTTTTCTATATTGCTGCTAAGCCTCGCCCTCCTAACATCTTTATTAAGGTTCGTACATATATACTTGTGTTTATTTTTATCTCTATCTATATCATTATGGGGAAATTTACAGTTTTCACCCCTCAAATTTGTAATGATTTCACATTTGATCCTCTATGTTTTCACAAAAAACACATTTGGTCCCTCATGCATGTTTCAATAATTTGACACTTTTGTTCATTTCCGTCAATTCACCGTTAGTCCGTCAGTTACAATAGTGATAGGCACACGTTTAATTCCGTTAGTTTTAACGGAAAATTGACGGAAATAACTAAAATGTTGGTTTTTTTAAACATTAAGAACCAAATGTGTTTTTTTGTGAACACGGAGGATCAAATGTGAAATCGGTGCAAACTTGAGGGATGAAAATTGTATTTTTTCCTATATATTTTTTGTAATTGACGCACAGATTTTGGTCACTCTTTAAATTAATTTGCACAACTAAATAGCATGCATCAGGTTCAAGCGTAAAATCTATCGAAAAATATGAATATTCCTCTAAAAATTTCAAAAATTTCTTCAGTCCGAGTTTATGATCCTCTCCATATTCAAAAAAACTCGTGATATGAACGATTAATGATGGCGAAAATTACACTTTTCGACCCTCGAGTTTTCCTAGATTTCACATTTAGTCCCTCGTGTTTCAATAATTTACACTTTCCGTTCTTCTGGTAATATTTCGTTAGTACTAATGGAATCAAGCATGTGTCCGTCACTCTCATAACTAACGGACTAACGGTAAATTGACGGAAATGATCATAAGTGTCAAATTGTAGAAACATGAGGGACCAAATGTGTTTTTTGTGAACATAAAAGACCAAATGTAAAACTGGTACAAACTTGAGGAATGGAAACTATAATTTTCCCATTAATGATGTGCTATTATGATAAAATGTTATTGTTGAAAAGTTGCAGGAAATAAATTCGATAGAAAAATGACGGGGTGATCGTGTTATATTTTGGAGAAAAAAAAATAATTATTAAAGACAAGCGAATTAGTATACTAAAAAACGTTCGATTTTATCAAGTCTCTAGTCATAATTTCAATCGACTCAAATTGAATTTTAAATAAAAATATAAAGATCGTCTAGCAGTTGGACCAAGTGAGCATGTGTCAATTGACCTAAATATGATTTGCAAACTATTATACGAAATTGTAGATTTACCAAGTACACATATATGGTTGGCTATTGGTTGCTACGTTAAAAAAAAATAATAAAAAAAATGGTGGTCATCATTAATTAATTAATAAATGTGCAGATTGGAGGAATTGGAGGGTTCAGATTAGCCGAGGGAGTGGACGGCTCTGGTGCATCGACGAAAATATTAAGCTGCAATTGTTCAATTGATTTAATAATAGAAAATAAGTCCAAGCTATTTGGTCTTCACATCAATCCTCCATTCATTCAATTGCTTTTTGGCCATCTCCCTTTTGCAGTGTCATAGGTCAGCAATTTGTTATATTGTGTTTCCCATTTTTATTTTTCCATTGTCAAATTCAAATTTCATTACACATAGGAAACAAAAATTCATTGTGTTTTACTATCCTTATTTAGTTTAATTACAAAACAAATCCCTATTTTCAAGAAATTACATTTAACCCTCATGAGATTCTTTAAAAAAAATAAAATTTACCCCTCGGGAGGCAAATTGTAAAGTTTAAAATTTAAAGGGGGATTTAAAATAATTTTTTTAAGAGTTATTTAATATGGTCGTTTCGAACTCTTTAAATTTGTCATTTAAAATTTTATGGTTTTAAAAAAATTAAAAATAAAATATTGGGTTCGTAAAATCAAATATTAGTGGTAATTTAATTTGTTCTCCTTTTTATTTGAAGTAATTTAGCTTTTTCATAATTTCTGTTAGTATTTCTAACGGACTGTTAGCTTGAGGGTAATTGATTTTATTTTAAGTAAAGCATGCAATTCACCAGAAAAAGAATACGAGGCAAAAATAAAAAATTCCTGGCATAATTGTATATATATATATATATATATATATATATATATATATATGTAAATAAACTTAAATTAACACATGGTTAATTATTAGTAGTAGTATATATATATTTTACAATTTTTTTCACAAAATTACATGCTTTTAATATGTTGATATAAAAAAAATATATGCTATTTAATTTATTTTTGTTTTGGCCATTAAAGATGGAGGGTGGAGAAGTATATGGAGAGAGTGATGAGACAACAATATTCACTTTCTAAAAGCTTTTGCGAATACAACCTTAATAAGGTTGGACTCCATAAGCTAAAAAGCTTATGGAGTTGGATTTCCACTCATTTGTTGAATTTGTTTGAACTTTTAATCCATAATTATGGGTACGTGATCATAATTCATAATTATTGCGCCCCCATAAATTCTCGCTGTGCCAAGTGCCACTCCGGGTGTGTC